TCTGGAAGTCCCGGAGGGTGAATGGGGCTGGCCTGAGTTTGGGACCCCCAGTAGGACACAGTTTCCTTAAGGTCCTTGCCGAGATTATGGATAGAGTTGAACCCGTGTCAAGCTCCATGCGGCATGGGGCCCCCTCTATCTGTACCTCTACATAAATTTTCTCTACGTTGGGGTGGGGCAACTGGTATACCTGGAAGTCCGTGAGCTCCGTCGAGTTGCCTTGGTGCGTTGGGCCCCGGGACCTGGGGCTCTTGGATTCGTCATCTGATGCCTGGCGTCGGGTGGGTCGAGCCCGACACACCCGGGCGATGTGTCCCAATTTTCTGCACTGCCTGCACTCTGCGTTGCGGAAACGGCAGGTCCTCCTCTCGTGACTTTCTCCACAGCTTGCGCAGTTCCCTCCTTCTCGTCGAGGCAGCTGTGGTATGTGGGCTGCTTGAGTGCGCTGCTGTACTCGGTGCACCTCCTCCCTGTCGGATCCTGAGTCGTCGGTGAGGTCTTTGTGGTGGACCCTCGGTTGGGACGGCTGGCTCGGCCGTGCCTCTTGCGTTGACCTCTCGGCAGCTTCCGTTGCCAGGGCCTCCTCCAGAGCGACCTGGAACGTTAGGTTCTTCTTAGCGTAGAGGCGTCGTTGCAGCTTCTCATCCTTCAGGCCACCGACGAGGCGGTCACGAAGCATGTTCTCCAGCTCTGAGAAGTTGCAGAACCGGGCGGCTTGGCGGAGAGAGGTCACAAACCCAGTTATGGTTTCCCCAGGGGCTTGCCGCTTTGCGTAGAAGGCATTTCGACGAGCCACCACTGAGGGCTGTGGCGAAAAGTGCCCCTTCAGCTGTTCCATTATTGTTTTGTATGGAACAGTAGCGACGTCTTCAGGCGCAAGGAGAGCCCGGGCGATTTCAAACGTCTCTTCTCCGCAGACGCTGAAGAATATCGCCCTCTTCTTGGTGTCTTCTTCGTCGGTGACCCCTTTGGCTTCTAGGAGGAAGGTGAAACGGGAGGCGTACGCTTCCCAGTCTCCAGATGCTGGGTTGAATGGCGAGAAGCTGTTGTCGGTTGCCATTCTGAGTTCCTTGTGTCCCGGAGCTGAAGCCTGGATACACGGTGCGAGGCAGCGGTGCGGCAGGTGGCGGTGCTGCGATGCTGTGTGTGGCAGTCAGCTCAGCGGGATCCCACCTTCGTCGCCAGTGAAATATACTCAGAGTCGCAAAGTGATTTCATGCTCTTTATTCAGCTCATAGTGGTGAGGAGGAATGAATGAATGTCCCCTCAAAGTATCTGCTTTATATACATTACAGTGGTACCCCGCAAGACGAATGCCTCGCAAGACGGAAAACCCGCAAGACGAAAGGGTTTTCTGTTTTGGAGGCGCTTCGCAAGACGAATTTCCCTATGGGCTTGCATCGCAAGACGAAAGCCCATAGGGAAATGCTGGCGGTCGGGAGCAAAGACTTTTGCCCACAGCCGGCCTTCAGAAGAGGACCTCTTCTGAAGGCCGGCGGGGGGCAAAAGTCTTTGCTCCCCCCGCCTGCCTTCCCCCCGCCTGCCCCGGGCGATCTTAAAATGCTGGCGGGCGGGAGCGAAGCGTTCGCTGCCGACCCCCAGCATTTTAAAATCTCCCCATGTCCCGGGAAGGTTTTAAAATGCTGGGGGTCGGGAGCGAAGCGCTGCCGACCCCCAGCATTTTAAAATCTCCCCATGTCCCGGGAAGGTTTTAAAATGCTGGGGGTCGGGAACGAAGCGCTGCCGACCCCCAGCATTTTAAAATCTCCCCGTGTCCCGGGAAGGTTTTAAAATGCTGGGGGTCGGCCCATTTTAAGATCGGCCCCTGCTTGGGGGAGATGCCGGCAAGCCTTGCGCGCAAGGCTTGGGGCGGCAGCCTGCATCCCGAAGCAGGGGGTGAGCTGCGGAGCCCGCCCCCTGCTTGGGGGAGATGCCGGCAAGCCTTGCGGGCAAGGCTTGGGGTGGCAGCCTGCATCCCGAAGCAGGGGGTGAGCTGCGGAGCCCGCCCCCTGCTTGGGGGAGATGTCAGCAAGCCTTGCGCGCAAGGCTTGGGGCGGCAGCCTGCATCCCGAAGCAGGGGGTGAGCTGCGGAGCCCGCCCCCTGCCTGGGGGAGATGTTGGCAAGCCTTGCGCGCAAGGCTTGGGGCGGCAGCCTGCATCCCGAAGCAGGGGGTGAGCTGCGGAGCCCGCCCCCTGCCTGGGGGAGATGTTGGCAAGCCTTGCGTGCAAGGCTTGGGGCGGCAGCCTGCATCCCGAAGCAGGGGGTGAGCTGCGGAGCCCGCCCCCTGCTTGGGGGAGATGCCGGCAAGCCTTGCGCGCAAGGCTTGGGGCGGCAGCCTGCATCCCGAAGCAGGGGGTGAGCTGCGGAGCCCGCCCCCTGCTTCAGGCAGATGTCGGCAAGCCTCGCATGCCCGGCGGGAGGTCCCGCTTAGCCCGCTGTTCCGAAGCGGGGAGGGGGGCGGGAAGACCTGCCCCAGCTGCCCCACTTCGGAACGCTGTTCCGAAGCGGGGAGGGGGGGCGGGGACACCTGCCCCAGCCGCCCCACTTCGGAACGCTGTTCCGAAGCGGGGAGGGGGGGCGGGAAGACCTTCTGAAGGCGGGCAGGGGGCGAAAGTATTTGTCCCCCCTGCCTGCCTTCCCAGGGGCTTTTAAATCGCCCCGGACAGCGGAGACGTCCTCCGCTGTCCCAGGGTTTTTTAAAATGCTGGGGGTGGGAAGAAAAGCCCTTGTCCCCCCCCCCCAGCCTTCAGAAGAGGTCTGGGGACAGACTGTCCCCGGACCTGGTCTGAAGGCGGTTTCCCTAGGAACGCATTAATTGATTTTCAATGCATTCCTATGGGAAACCGTGCATCGCAAGACGAAAAAACCGCAAGACGAAGAGACTTGCGGAACGAATTAATTTCGTCTTGCGAGGCACCACTGTATTTACACAATGGGCTGCACATGATTGGCTAATTCCGGAATTCTACTGTAAGCCAATCAGGTTGTGGATTCACTTCTATCTGGAGCATGATTGGGTAGTTCCTGCCAACCAATCATACTGCTGCATTGTTCTAGGACCAATCAGACTGCTGCCTTTTGAATCCTATTGTTCTAGGGCCAATCAGACTGCTGCAGTTTGGATCCTATTCAACTCAGTACATAACAGTAGCAAAGGGGTGGAAAGTGCAGGTGAGGGGGGACTCCCACTCTCATCAGACCCAGTGGGCAGGAATGGCAGTGGGAGGTCAGCCTTCATCTGGAGGAGCAAAGTTTCCTCGATGCTGGGATAGGATGACAGGATTGCCTGCCCAAGATGCAAAAGTCATGCAGTATATTGATAGAGGCTTTCAAAAGAATGCTCTTTTAAAAAAAGAAAAGAAAGAAAATGAAATACCTTGCAATTGACTGTCCCATTTTCTTGACAGGCTTAAAAAAATGGTGGTTCTCTTGCCTAACAGTGCAATCAGTCTTCCCCTTTTTTACTCATCCCTGGTGACTTCAGTGGGAATGAATATGGGAAGATTCAAGACAGACAATTCACCTATGGAATTAGCTGCCACAAAATTTCACACTAGCTACCAATTTGGGTGGCTCTGAAATGGAATTAGGCAAAGTCAGGGAGATTAGAGCCTGTCAGTGAATAGGAGACACGATGGCTTTGTTCTCCTGCCACTGTCAAAGGAAGTGAACCCCTGACTGCCAGTTGCTGAGATGACAATTGGGGAGCTAAAGGCTGTTGCACTAAGGTCCTCCTACAGCCACCTGAGAGCAGGATGCCTGACTAGATGAGCCTCTCACCTCATCCAGCAGGCTCTTAAATTCTTAGAATGGTAGAGATGGAAGGGATCCCAAGGGTCATCTAGTCCAACCCCTCCTGCAGAAATCTCAACTAAAGCATCCTTGGCAGATGGCCATCCAAGTGCTGCTCAAAAACCTCCAAGGAAGGAAAGTCCCTTCCACTGTCTAACAGCTTTTACCGTCAGAAAGTTCTTCCTGATGTTCAGTCAGAATCTCCTTTCTTGTAACTTTGGTTACAAGTCCTGCCCTTTGGTCTGAGTCCTGCCCTCCAGACCAGGAGAAAACAAGCTGGCTCCTTGTGACAGCTCTTTAGATATTTGAAGATGGCTATCACCGTGACGTTTCATGAGCGCATGGTGCCTGGGGAGGCACATGTGAGCTGGAGGGATGTGTGCAAGGCAGGGGGGGAGGGTGAAAGAGCCCACCATGGCACCCCAGCCCTTACCGTCAACCCTGCCAGAGTGACCCCGCCCCAGATCCAAGCAGGGTTGTGCTGCGCCTCCTACCTGCTACACAGCCAGCTGACATTGCACTTGTGGGTGTGAACCAGGCGCTCCCACACAGGTGCCCCCCATGTGGCCCAGTGCTCCTCTCCACAAACGTTGGTTCCTCTGACCGGGCTGCACTGCACCAAGGGCACCTGTGGGGGGCATCTGATTCATGCACCCTCAAAAATCCCTGCCCAGGGCCACTGCCCCTCTGGGCTCTCCTATCTCCTCTCAGTCTCCTCTTTTCCAGGCTAAACATTACCAACTCCTTCAACCATTCGTCATAAGGCTTGGTTTCCAGACCCTTGGCCATGATGGTTGCCCTCCTCTGCACACATTCCAGTTTGTCAATATCCTTCTTAAATTGTGGTACACAGGACTCCTGGTGTGACCAAGGCAGAATAGAGCAGTGCTATGACTTCCCTTGAAGTAAAGGTAAAGGGACCCCTGACCATTAGGTCCAGTTGTGGCCGACTCTGGGGTTGCGGTGCTCATCTCGCTTTATTGGCCGAGGGAGCCGGCGTACAGCTTGTGGGTCATGTGGCCAGCATGACTAAGCCGCTTCTGGCGAACCAGAGCAGCGCACAGAAACGCCGTTTACCTTCCCGCCGGAGCGGTACCTATTTATCTACTTGCACTTTGACGTGCTTTCAAACTGGTAGGTTGGCAGGAGCAGGGACCAAGCAACGGGAGCTCACCCCGTCGCGGGGATTCGAACCGCCGACCTTCTGATCAGCAAGTCCTAGGCTCTGTGGTTTAACCCACAGCGCCACCTGTGTCCCTTGAAGTATGTTCATCTTTAATCCTCACAACAACCCTGTGAATTAGGTTCGGCTAAGAGACTGTGAGTTACCCAAGATCACCCAGTGAGTTTCATGACTGAACAGGGATTTCAACCCCGGCCTCTCAGGTCTGAGCTCAACCCTCTAACCACTATACCATACTGACTCTCTTATGACTTATCCCCAGGTAAGTGTATAGTTTACATAGGATTGTGGTCCCCTCTCCGCCACCTCTGTTGACCTACCAACAGCATGACTGTCCCCAGCACAGAAGAAATGAAGAGCTTCTGGAAAAGTTTCCAGGAGAAGAACCAAACCTGTTTCATCTTGGGTGCTTCTGGTTAAACTGGGAAGGAACTCCTAGCTGAGCTCTTGAGGCGACAGCTTTTCTCCAAGATTACCCTCATTGGCCGCCGGAAGTTGGAAGGATCACTTTACAGCAATGTGGTAATGAAAGCAAATGTTCCTTAAGTCATTGTTGATTTTTAAACATAGATCCAGATTCTCTTTCCCTCACCCCCTTTTTGTCCTCCCACCAACGCTGTGAGGTAGAGTAAGCTATGGTAAGGTAAGGGTAAAGGACCCCTGGACGGTTGTCTAGTCAAAGGCGACTATGGGGGTGTGGCGCTCATCTTGCTTCAGGCCAAGGAAGCTGGTGTTTGTCCACAGGCAGCTTTCTGGGTCATGTGGCCAGCAGGACTAAACTGCTTCTGGTGCAACCGGTCACCTTGACAAGTGCCAGAGCGCACAGTTTTGTTTACTAAGCTAAGAAATAGGTAAGCCCCTGAGCTTCCTGGGGATTCAAACCTAGGTCTCCTCCAAGCCTAGTCTGACTTTTCCACCACTAGACCACACCAGGGTTCCTCCAGGCATCCTATTTAGGGCTCATTCATGTTGGATTTGTGCTCATGATGCTCTTGGGCTAGTCATGCGCCATCCTACTTTGGTGGATGGAGCTCTAGCCAGAGATCTTCCCTTTCCTCTCCCAGTGTCTCATCCTGGGAGATCTTCACTGCCCTGCCTCTCACCTAGGGTCTGCTACTTCCATTTGGGTGCAGTCCTTCACTCCCAGAAGGGAAGACCCCAAAAGGATGGCTACCTGTGTTGAATCTTCCTTGTGGTGGGCAGCCCACTGCCTGCAACATGCCTGGCTTCTCTCCCCATCTGGAAACACAACCTCAGGGTGCACTGAGTCCATTTTTCCTGTTTCTGAGCAGTGCCGGCCAATTAACACTGTTTCATACAACAAGATGCTCCTTTGTGTTTCTTTAATAACTCGGCTGTCATGCCAAGATGTTGCTGCTGGATTTCTCTGTCAGAAACCACAGAGACATCTCTTAAGATGGTGGGCTTGGCTGATAAAAGTTGCTCTCCAAATAGAGCCAACAGTATTCAGAATGTTACACAAAACGCACAGGTGGAATCAATTAATTAATATTATAGGTAAAACTTATAACCAAAAGAACAACAAAGAAGACACTCTTATGGGATGCTTCAGGAAGCATTGGGGGCAACACAGAATGTGGTATGGGGCTGCAGACAAGCTACCCAGCTCTGCCCTGCAAGAATCCCCCACACTGGCTGGCAGGAGGTCTGGAGCAGAGAGGTGTGGGTTGGCCAAACAATCCTTGGAGAAATTGTAGATTTCTGCTCTCTAGGAAAGAATGGCAGAGCCAGCGGATGAGAGATGGGGTTACAACACTGCTTAACATATGTATTCCCCCCCCCCCATACACACATAAGTAGTCTGTGCTTCTGTGCTTGGCTTCCACATGTGTGGAGGTGTGGAGGCTTCTAGGGAGTGTGATGACAGCTACACCAGGAGATAGAACTGAGTTTACTTATTTGTTTGAAGCTCCATTCCTCCACATGGGTCATTTTTTTAATTTGAAGATTTGCATGTTGTTTTCTCCTTCTTTTGGCTCCTCTCGTGCTCTGCATCCCAGTCACAAGAAGTTGTTGACTTTGAGAAACTGGATGAATCGGTGGCTGCCTTCCAAGGCCATGATGTTGGGTTTTGCTGCCTGGGGACAACAAAGGCCAAAGCCGGAGTGGTGAGCAACCAATGCCAGCAGGAGGGCGGGGCAGTATTTTGTGGGTGGGAGGAACTGAGGAAGATGGCAAGGCCCACACAGCCATGGGGAGCCTCAGGTCAGGAGCCATTCAAGCACCTGTATTGGTTCCGTGACCATCTCCCCACACCACACACCCTCCACAGCTGCCGCCCCCCTCTTCCCTCAGCCACATCTCCTGGTGATGCTTCTTGCTTGCCTGCATGGAGGATGGAGAGTGGCCTGTGAAGAAACTAGCCTAGTATGCAAATGTAAAATTCACATCTCTTGTTCTGCACATTTTTGCCACTGGCATGTGATCCCTGGAAGGTTTCTCAAAGGAAAAGTGGCTCCCTGTCTCCGGAGTAAAAGGAAATGGGAGCTGCATGAAGCAGCCACCCAAGCACTTTGGTGTGGCCTAATGTTTGCTTTCTTTTCCTTTGTGTCTGAGAGCTGTGAGGGTGAAATGGGAGCGTTGGGACCTTGGCAGAGGATGCAATAGGAGTTGTTCATTTATTACATATGCACAACATTTCTTCCAAGTTGCATGAGGTTATCTTAATTCTTTGTTCACAACAACCCTGTGAGGTACACTGGACTGAGAGAAAGACTAGCTTGCCCAACTTGAACACAGGTCTTTCCAGTCCAAGTTTTGCCCTGCACTAGCTGTCACCTAGTTCAACCTACTGAGTGAAAATTATTAGTATTTAACTATGGCTTGAGTCACCCTTACCCTTTGGAATAGAGAGGATTTCCAAATAAATGTTACTTTCTCTGGCCTGCAGGATGGATTTGTGCGGGTCGACCGTGACTACGTTGAGCACTCTGCGAGACTCGCCAAAGCTGGTGGCTGTCACCACTTTGTCCTGCAGTCGGGCAAAGGGGCCAATAGCTCGAGCCGCTTCTTCTACCTCCGGGTTAAGGTGTGTCTTGTTGGAGAGAGCCTAGTCCTGGGGTGCAAACCCTCTGGCCCTCCAGATGTTGCCAGACTCCAGTACTCATCAGCTGCAAGTTGCAGTCCAGCAACATTGGGTGAGCCACAGGTTCCCCAGGTCTTGAATTGTCTTTCAAAACAAAGTAATCAATGTATGGGAGGAGACACCAGTTTTATGAGCTGTTCTGAATTCTGGCCTTAAATGCCAAGTTCTAGGTTTTAATTTTATGTACAGATGGCTGTGGCTCTAGGCTCTACTCTTCATTCTACTGCTATTCTGGATATTAGCAGAAGCTATTATTATTAATAGGGACGCGGTTGGCGCTGTGGGTAAAAGCCTCAGTGCCTAGGATTTGCCGATCGAAAGGTCGGCAGTTCGAATCCCCGCGGCGGGGTGCGCTCCCGCTGCTCGGTCCCAGCGCCTGCCAACCTAGCAGTTCGAAAGCACCCCCGGGTACAAGTAGATAAATAGGGACCGCTTACTGGCGGGAAGGTAAACGGCGTTTCCGTGTGCTGCGCTGGCTCGCCAGATGCAGCTTGTCACGCTGGCCACGTGACCCGGAAGTGTCTGCAGACAGCGCTGGCCCCCGGCCTCTTAAGTGAGATGGGCGCACAACCCTAGAGTCGGACACGACTGGCCCGTACGGGCAGGGGTACCTTTACCTTTATTATTATTATTATTATTAATAATTATTATTGCCTTTCCTCCAAGGTGGTTTACAGGGTTTTCTCTCCCTCCCCAAGCCCATTAAACTTTCACAAAAGCCCTCTGGGGTTTGTTAGCTGAGAGAGATTAGTAACTGGTCCATGATCATCACGTAGCTTTCATAGCTGAGGAATAATTTGAACCTGGGTCTCCCCAGTCTTGGCCTGACACTATCAGCACTACACACACGAGCATGCGCGCACACACAAACAACCCAGAAGCAACACAGTGTTTGTGGTTCAAAATGAAGAGGTCAAGATCAGTATCCCTGCCATAATATGGTGTGCTGTAGATGCGAAGCCAATGTAAGCCCTAATAAAGGGATGTGGTGGGGCAAGGGTGGGGGGGGCTTGGGTGGGATCCTCAGCCCATGCAGCTCAGTTTCATGACCTGGTAATCCAGTGTAAGTTACACTGATGAAAAGGGAAGTGTTACTCAAACCCTGTTTTAAAGGCTCACTTTTCTTCTGCCAGGCTTAGGCCAGCTCCGACAGGAGAAGCTGCACTCCTGAACAGAGTTTGGATCTGGTGTACTTTACAGTGTTTTGCTTCTGTGTGGGATTGCTTCATCAGCTGCCCCTGCCCTGGTAATTTTGAAGCTGGATTACTGCAGTGCACTTTTCATGGGGCTGCCTTTGAAGACAGTATGGAATACTGCAGCTAGGTTGTGAACAGGAATCAGGCAAAAAGATCATATCTTGCCTGCATAGAAACAACTCTACTGGCTCCCAGTGAGTTTTCAGGTTCAATTCAAAATATTGGTTTTAATCCCTAAATTCTAATACATTTTAGGTCCCAGATAAAAATCCAAACAGGTTGTTTTCCCAGTCTCTTAAAAAGTGAGATATTTTAAAACTTGGATCAACTTGATTTTACACTTTAAAATTGGCTGTTGATGTTTCAGATGGTTTTTAATTTGCTGACTTAGTTTCATTGTATAATAACAGTAATATTTTAAATTGTACCTCTTGTTTCTTATTACTGTGTTAACTACCCTAGAAAAATGAATCTATGTTAAAAGTGCAGGATAAAACTTTTGTATGTAAATAAATGAACGTGTGTGTGAGAGATCTAATATTTCATTTCCTCTTCCCCTACAGGGTGAAGCAGAGGACAGGGTCCAAGCAGTTGGCTTTGACCGTTGCTCCATTTTTAGACCAGCGTAAGTAATGCAAAGTGTGTGTTTGTTTGTGTGTCTGTGTGTAGATTGGGGATGTGTGGGTGGGATAGAAGGAAAAGCACTCAACTATTGACGGCCGTTGTGGGGATGATGAGTGGTTGATGGGCACATCACAGTAGCGCTTGGGGGCGGGTTACACTTCTGTGCATTGACCGACCCACCCCTGCAGATCTATGTATTTAAAGCTTCTCCTCCCAACAGGCACGAACTAGTCAACTCCCATCTTGTTGTCTACTCGGGAGCAGGTCCCAAAGCACAGTGTGTGGATGTGAGGAGGCTTCAGTCCAACGTAACCTGTGGATAAGACACGAGCAGCCCTGCACCCAGTGAAACAAAAAATACCTTATTTTCCGCTCTATAGGACGCACTTTTCCCTCTTAAAAAGCAAGGGGGAATGTGTGTGCGTCCTATGGAGCGAATGCAGGGGGGAGGCAGGCGGGAAATGTCCTCAAGAGCCGCACACAAGCTCCGTGCAGCTCCTGCGGGCTTTTCCCCAGGAGGGAGAAGGGACTGACTGGCCGCACCAGTCCCTTCTCCCACCTCGTAGAAAAGCCCACAGGAGCCACGCACCCTTTAAAGAGCTTCTGCAGGCTTTTGCGGGAGGTGGGGGAATTCCCCCACCTCCTAGAAAAGCCAGCAGAAGCGGGGCAGCCCCTTTAAAGAGCGCGTGGCTTCTGCGGGAGGTGGGGGAATTTCCCACCCTCGTAGAAAAGCCCGCAGGAGCCGCACACCCTTTAAAGAGTGCGCCACTCTTGCTGGCTTTTCCCCGAGGAGAGACAAGGGACTGACTGGCCGCATCAGTCCCTTCTCCCTCCTCGTAGAAAAGCCCACAGGAGCCGTGCACTCCTTAAAGGGAATTCCCCCACCTCCCGCAAAAGCAGGGAGAAGTCTGGGAGAAGTGCACAGGCTGCCTGCAGCCTGTCCGCTGCTCCCAGAGCTGGGGGGGGGATCATATTTTTTTCCTTGATTTCCCCCTCTGAAAACTAGGTGCGCTCTATGGTCAGGTGCGCCCTATGGAGCAAAAAATATGGTAATAATAATCAGTGGCCAAAAGCAGCTGAGTTTTGAAAAGTTCAGCCTGCCATCTTGATTCAGAATGGTACCCCATTGTAGCCACACATAGTTAAAAAGATGTTCCTTGTTCCCAGGAACCATTTTGAAAAATTTGGTTCCAGTATCTTAAGAGGTGTCTAAATGCATAACTAACGAAACAACTTTCAGAAGTTTGTAGTAGAAGAGGACTGTTCCAGTTTGGTCTCAGGGGGTATATAATGCCAGTTCAGTTGCCCTGGGTTGGTTACCCTTTAACCACCCTTTGGTATAGGTATTATTAAAGAAGTTGGTAAAATAGTGGTTATGGCTCCACCCTTCCAAGGGCAGTTTGGCTTGATGTAATCCATCCTATTTATCTTTCCATCTCAAAGGAAACCCAGGATCACAGGTATGAGGTTATGGCATAATCCGCTCAACCTGTGAAGCCAGTTGGAATCCAAGATACTGACTTACCAGAGGCCTCCCCAGTGGGTTTTATGACTGAACAGATATTTGAATCTTGATCGCCTCAGTTCCGAGTTCAGCCCTCCCACATAACACTGGCTCTTGTTTGCAACAGGTCGCCTGGCATCATTTTACTCCCAACAGTGGCTAAGTGCGCATTATGACAACATTCTGTTGGGCCTTCCAGCTCTTCTTGAGGGAGTTGTCACTAACCAGATCCAGGCTCTCTTGGATGAGACCAATTTCCACCTGTGTTTAGGCCTGGTTTAGACTGAAACTGCCTTGGTCATCCTGTTTGATTATCTTTGTCAGGACAGAGGCAGGAGAATGTGACTCGGTTGGTTCTCTTTCATCTCTCAGTCCTCTGGAGCAGCTGAATTGGCAGTAGGTGGTGGCACTTGACAGTGGTTCTGGTCCTGTTTGTATGGCCATCTCCAGAGGGTTGTGCTCAGGAGATGTGAGGTGCCACATCTTCCATGCTGTTTAAAATCTGCATGAAACCGCTGGAAGGGAATGTGGAGTATATTGCCATTAATTTGCAGGTGATTTGCAACTCTATTTCTGCAGGTGTAGAAGTGGATGTTCTAGACCAGGATGAGACCCAGTAAACTGAAGTTTAATTCAGATAAGATGGAATCACTGTTAATGGAGGTTCCTTAGACTGAATAGGTGGGGTTCAACCTGTTATGGATGGGGTTGCACTCCCCCTATAGAAACACAACGTGGAGTTACTTCTGGATCCACTCCTATCACTGGAGGCAAAGTGACCTTGGTGGCATGGAGTTCCTTCCATAAGTTCCAGCTGGTGGCCCAGCTGTGACTTCATCTGGAGAAAGAGAGCCTAGCTTCCGTTGTCTACCTCCTGGTTAGATTATGCCACTGCATTGACTTACCTGCGGGGCTGCCCCTTTCCCTTCATTAACCTGCCTAGACCCTGCATTCATTATCTGGGGTGTGGAGGGTGGCAACACAAGATCAGGCCTTCTCAGTGATGGCTCCCTGACTCTGGAATTCTCTCCCCAGAGAGATGCACCTAGTGCCTTCACTGTTAACCTTTAGGCACCAGGTGAAGACATTCCTATTCACTCAGGCATTTCTCTCTTAATTGGAGTTATTATTTCATTAGGTGGGATGTGCCTTTTCATGTTGTTGCAGAATGAACAGTTTTAGTTGATAATGTTTTATCTTCTGAAGTATTTGAAGTTTAATCTTATATTGCTTTTTTTTAATAAAAGCAAGTCACTTGGAGACAATTTCTTTGTAGTAAGTGACAGATAAATATAAGTAAATAATAACCCCCAAACCAGTAGCTCCCACCTCTGTATAAACTGGGTTGCTGTTTCAGCAGGAGTGAACGGCCCCCTATGCTGGAACCACTGTAGCTTCCATGTTGGGGCCTGAGGCAGATACTTAATATGCCCTGTTTGAAAAATTACTGTATTCACTGTCCTGAATCCAATACACTTGGTCTTTTATATGATTCACTGATTTTGCTGTCTCCAGAAATGCCCGTGATAGATGCAGCTTCCCCTAGTCACCATTCTGAGTAGCCGTGATACCTGGTGACATCAGACAACTGAAAGGAAGTGGTTTTCTCCTTCTGTCTCCTACAGAGTGCTGCTGTGTGATCGCCAGGAGTCTCGGCCGGCAGAGTGGATGGCCCAGAAATTCCTAGGAGTGGTAGCCCTTGTCTTCCCCACAGCCCTTTCTGTCCCAACAGTGACTGTGGCGCAGGCAATGCTGAATCATGTGGTGATGCCAGGAAAGGAGGGCCAGAAGGTTTATGTGCTGGAAAATGCAGGTATACATGCCCTTGGGCAGGCAAAATAAGGGGCGAGGGTATTGTTTCCTAGATGACGTAGTGGCAGAGGGTGTCATCGTTCCCCAAACCCAGTCTTTCCTGTTCTTCCTTTCCGCCAGAAGGTGCCCCTCAAGCAGTAGGGCCTTGCCTGTTAACTTGAAACCATTCCTCTGTGTCTCCATGGTAATGGGACAAACCGCCACACCTCCCATGGCAGCCATTTTGAGTAGCACTGCTGGTTACCAGAAGGACAAATATTTGATTTTCACTGCTGTGCAATGCTCATTAAAGATTGTAAAACACATCTATGGAGGGAGGGTGCTGCTTATGGGGTCACTCTCCTCTGTGCCTTGATCTATGGTAGATCTGTTCTTGGTACAAGTCTTCTTTTCCTGTCATGCATTACAATAAGATCCCCTCAAGTGCTTGTTTCCTTACTGCTTTGAAGGTACTGATCAGATCCCTTCTGGGCTAACTGCCTCTTTAGGAATGTGGCTGAAAACCAGCCATAACTGGTTTGCTCCTGTCAGTATCTATAAAATGTGTGATTGGGATACCCATGTCTGAAAACAGTGGGTCTGTCACCATCATTTGGACCAAAGATTATACCCTTCTAGGCGTTTCTGTGACACAGGAAATATTTGCAACCCTGGCAGGACTGAGCTGTCAAGCTTTCAGACATGTAACAATCTGAGCTGGCGCTGGGAACCAGGCAATCTCTTCCTAGTACTATACCAAAGAAGATTGTGATTTCTTTTTTATGTTGAATTTCTGCTTATGGCTCAAGGGAAAAATGGAATGTTATTCAACTCTCATGGGTGAAAATGAATAAGGGATGCTTTTTCTACACAGGTTGAAAAGAGGAATGTAATAATGAACAGGACTCAAATATTATCCACCACCCCGGAATTTTCTGCTGTGCTTCAAAGCTGTGTTACAGCCGTCACTTACAAGTTCCCAAGAGGGCACAATACATGTTCACATGATCTCCATTCGCATGAGGTACACCAGCCTTCACCAAACTTGTGTCTCCTGTGCATGTTTTGGACTACAGTCCCCATCAGCCCCAGGCAGTATGGCCAGTTCTCAGGGATGATGAAGAGAAAGTTCCAAGACACCTGGAGGGGACCAGGTTTCGAAAAGTTGGCACACACATTTTTAGAGAAAGCCTTGTGTGAAGTGGCCTACTGATTGTGAAGGAGGGGCCTGTACAGGAATCTGCCTGGTATATTAGCCCAGTGTTTCCCAACCTTGGGCCTCCAGCTGTTTTTGAACTACAATTCCCATCATCCCTGACCACTGGTCTTGCTAGCTAGGGATGATGGGAGTTGTAGTCCAAAAACAGCTGGAGGCCCAAGGTTGGGAAACACTGTATTAGCCATAGCTGAGCTCTGGTGCTTCAAGTAAAAGTCTAACTATCTTCGGCTGAATGCTACTAAGTGAAGCTTTCTGATATTTTCGTGGATTTGTTTGTTTTGCAGTAAGACTTCACCTTGTACAGTGAAATGTTCTCTCCCTCTCCTCACCTCATGCATCCCTAAATCTGTTCTGAGGGTTCCCTGAACCCCCCAGAGCAGATCTAGGGAGCAGTAATTTGTATTGTGTTAGCACAAATCTTTTCTGCATGAGATCTACCCAGTGACAAGACAGTTATGAATATGAGCTTGAAAGAAAAGTGCTCAATATTAGACTGTACGCTCAAGTTATCTGCATTGGATCTGACTGGTAGATCCCATTCAGATAAATTGAACATACAGTCCAATATTCTCTACCTCTCTTTTAAATCAGAACCAGTGAGGGCGGTGAAGGTCCTGTGTGAGTGTCTGGAGGCGGTTGGAGGATGGATGGCGGCTAACAGATTGAGGTTGAATCCTGACAAGACAGAAGTACTGTTTTTGGGGGACAGGAGGCAGGCAGGTGTGGAGGATTCCCTGGTCCTGAATGGGGTAACTGTGCCCCTGAAGGACCAGGTGTGCAGCCTGGGAGTCATTTTGGACTCACAGCTGTCCATGGAGGCAGCTCCATCTGGTACGTAGGCTGAGACCTTATCTGCCTGCGGACTGTCTCGCCAGAGTGGTGCATGCTCTGGTTATCTCCCGCTTGGACTACTGCAATGCGCTCTACGTGGGGCTACCTTTCCGAGCACAATTCAAAGTGTTGGTGCTGACCTTTAAAGCCCTAAATGGCCTCGGTTCAGTATACCTGAAGGAGCGTCTCCACCCCCATCATTCTGCCTGGACACTGGAGTCCATCTCCCGAGGGCCTTCTGGCGGTTCCCTCATTGCGAGAAGCAAAGTTACAGGGAACCAGGCAGAGGGCCTTCTCGGTAGTGGCGCCCGCCCTGTGGAACGCCCTTCCAGCAGATGTCAAAGCGATAAACAACTACCTGACATTCAGAAGACATCTTAAGGCAGCCCTGTTCAGGTAAGTTTTTAACGTGTATTTTTGGTAAGTTTTTACTGTATTTTTGGTTTCTATGGAAGCCGCCCAGAGTGGCTGGGGAGGCCCAGCCAGATGGGCGGGATATAAATAATAAATTATTATTATTATTATTATTATTATTATTATTATTATGATCCAGCACTTTTCTTTCAAGCTCATATTCATAACTGTCTTGTCACTGGGTAGATCTCAAGCAAAAATAGCTATTTCAGTGGATAATGCAAATGTTGAGAAGCAAAGTGAGCTAGCAAAGAAATGTCAAAACAATATTCAGCAAACAAGGCTTGGGAAAACCTGTGGACTTGACTTCCAATTGCATTTTATTTGATTCATGAATCAAAAAGTATGCTATTTTTTATGAAACAATTATGGTGTTGGTGATATTTCTAAAGCTGTAAATGTGTTTAATTCTTATTTATATATTCATTAAAATCATTTAAAAGGTTTTAAAGTTTTGTAGTGTAATGATTACATGTTAAAATGTTAGTTACGGTATAGCTTGAAATACCACTCCAAAATAATATGTGTTCTTTAGATTTTGTTTCCATTTTTCCTCCTTATTGCGTCCCAGCCAGCTCAAAATATAAATTATTAAAAAAACCTTAGGAGCCAGCACTTAAATGCAGCATCAAAATTCAAACACATAAAATTAGGGCTGCTAATGTTAATTAATAGATTGACTAACTAAAGCTTTAATTGAAGTTCCTGACTGTCCATTTTAGTCAGTGCAGCTGAAAAAAGGCCTCTGGTTTTTGAGGCTCTCTCAATTCTGTTTTCGAAAGGCAGGCTGGCTTTAATAAATGGTGACTTTTCTTAAATCCAGGGGTACCATCTATGCGGGACCTTGGGTGTCAAGCCCCCCCCCCAATTTCCAGTGAAGAGCCCCCCCCTCCAGTTCTGCAGTGGTGCACTTATGTCTTGGGACGTCAGCACACCCTGCAATGTGCAGGGCAAGGCAACACACCTGCTTAAATCATACATCACAATTTACACTTCAGTATTTCAATATTATTATTATTATTATTCATTCATTCATTCATTCATTCATTTATTTATTTATTTATTATATTCTGCCCATCTGGCTGAGTTTCCGCAGCCACTCTGGGCAGCTCCCAACAGAATATTAAAAACACGCTAAAACATCATTAAAAACTTCCCTAAGCACACGTGCAATTAGAGGCTGAGATGGGAGTAATCAGCCTCCCAAACTCCTCCAGGACCGGAGGAAATAGGCTTCATATAGATGTTAAAAAGCATGAGGGAGAGGGGTCTGAACACTCATCCCCCAACACCACTTTCTGAACACGGCCCAGGAGGAAGGAGCGGAACCACTGTATAGCAGTGCCCCCAGCTCCTAGCCCCTCTAAACGCTCCAGAAGGATGTTATGGTAGATGGTATAAAAGGCCGCTGAGAGATCCAGCAGAACTAGGAAACAGATTTCACCTTTGTCCCTAGCCTGCCCGAGATCATCAACCAGCGCAACCAAGGTAGATTCAGTCCTATGATAGAAGGGATCCAAATGGTCCGCATCCTCCAGGCGTGCTTGGAGGTGTTCAGTAACCACCCGCTCAATCACCTTCCCCAAGAATGGAAGATTTGAGACTGGGCAATAGTTGGCCATATTGGCCGGGTCTAAAGATGTTTTTTAAAGAAGCGGTTTAATAACAGCCTCTTTCAGTGGGTCTGAGCAACTTTGGCCCCGTGGCAAAGGTGGTTCCGTTGGATTGCGAACCACCCGAAAGGGTCTTCTGCTGCTGTTTTCTGCAGATGCAATAGAGGCAGTGAAGAAGGTCCTCTTCGCCTTTGCTATCGCCACTTGGTAGACTTGACGTTGAGCTCTAACCTGTGTCCAGTCCGATTCAGAATGAGTTTTCTGCCACTGGTGCTCTAGCAATCTCAGCAATTCTTTCATCGCTGTCAGCTCTGGAGAAAACCACAAGGCTGTCTGGGCTCCATGCAATCAGAGAGGGTGCTTCGGAGCCAGACAGTCGATAGCCCTGGTTAACTCTGCATTCCAGTGGGCCACCATGGAATCAGCTGAAAGGCCATCTCATGGGATAAAACATTTCCTACCACTCTCTGGAAACCATTTGTATCCATTAAGTGGCAGGGATGGGCCATCCGAATCGGTCCCACCTCCCTTCAGAGGGGAAGAGTTGTGCAGAAGTCCAGTGGCACCAGGAAGTGATCCGACCATGGCACTTCTTTTGTTTCACTTTTACTTGGTGTCACCCACATCCATAGATGTGAACACCAGGTCTAAGGCATGTCCGCGACTGAGTTGGGCCAAACTTATTCAGGGACAGCCCCATGGAGGCCATGCTTTCCACGAAGTCCCGAGCGGCCCTTTGTAAGGTTGTGATGGCATGGATGTTAAAATTCCCTAGGACAACCAAACTAGATGTCTTCAGGAGAACATCCACCATGACCTGAAGCAGCTCAGGCAGGGAATCCTTTGTGCAGTGGGGAGGTCGGTACACCAAAAGGAATCCTGTACTGCCCCTAATGTCCAACTTCCAGAGCATGCACTCAGAGAACTGGGTCTCCCCAATAGGACACCTGGTGTAAAAATCACTGCAAACCCCCCCCCCCGACCATATGACCTGGGTTGCTGTGCGTAAGAGAAACCTGGTGGACAAGCAGTGGAAGGACAGGCCCATTTGCTTCAACCAAGTCTGTGTTACACATGCCAGATCAAGTTGTGGATGATAGCCAACTTGTGAGTCATTGACCTGGCATTGCACTTTTGAAGCCAGGGGGTGAGAATTTGGGGGGTGGAAAATGCAAAATATTATGTTGTTGTTATATTATTTATTCCGCCTTTTTCCCTGACAGGTTACTTTGTTACCTTAATAACATAAAACACATAACATATTACTTGATTTACTATAGAATTATCTTGTGTGAGATAAACAAAGTACAATTTGTTCAGGCAATAATTACAAATGGACTTAACCTTTTAAAGTTGATTTATTAGATGATCACAAATTTGTTGAAAAAGCAAAAAAGACCTTGAGGGGTTATTTTGAAATAAATAGTCAAGGGCTAACAAAGTTACAGACGGTCTGGGATGCAAGCAAGGCTGTAATGAGAGGACTCTTTATACAACAAAATTCATTTAAAAGGAAATTGAGAGAGAAAAAGAAGAAATATTAGAGGAAATTATGAAAAAGGAGAAACAGCTGCCAAACAAAGCAAACAAAGAGGCAGTAAAACAGGCAATCAAAACATTACAAACACAATACTCAATGATTATAAACGAGGAAATCAGCTGGAAAATAAGAGTAAAACAAAAATATTTTGAGCATGCAAATAAACCGGGGAAGTTGTTAGCCTGGCAGTTGAATAAAAGTGAACAAAGGAACTCCATAAATAAAATTAACATAAATGGCGGAATGACAGACAAGCTGAAGGAAATACGAGAAGGGTTTGTTAAATATTTTTCTGAGTTGTATAGACAAGGGAAAGAAAAAACATTTAAGATAGAAGAGTACATCAGGAAAAGCAATATGCCATATTTAAAAGAAGAACAAAGGAACATCCTTAACTCCTAGATAACAATGCAAGAAATACTTGATGCAATAAAAAGCTCTAAAAATGGCAAGTCCCCAGGCCCAGATGGCTTTACGGCAAAATATTATAAGATATTAAATGAACAATTAGCGAACCCATTGAAAGATGTCATGAATGAAATACTGAACACAGGCGAAATCCCAGAAACATGGAAACAGGCCTATATAACAGTAATTCCAAAACAAGACGCAGATTTGCTGCAAATTAAAAACTATAGGCCTATTTCCTTGTTAAATAATGATTACAAATTATTTGCAAATATC